TCTGCATCAGCATCATCATCATCATTAACAACATCATCATCACACTCGTCATCATTAGCATCACATCAGCATCATCGTCGTCGTCATCGTCATTATCACCATTATCATCACACTCATCATTATCATCATCATCGTCATCATCATCGTCACCATTATCGTCATGGTCATGATCATCATTATCATATGCATCATCATTATCATCGACGTCACCATCATCGCCACCATCACCATCATCAGCATCACCAGCATCTTCATCACCATCGTCGTCGTTGTCGTCGTCGACATCATCATCATCAGCACCATCGCCATCATCCTCATCATCATCATCATCATCATCATCATCATCATTGCCGTCACCATCACCATCATCGACACCCTTTGTCGGCACATCCCTCACACGCTTCGTGGCCCCGTCGGGAGCTTCGCCGAATGCCCCAGTAGCGGTGCCCACATGCGTCGGCGCTACTCAATTCGGCACATCCTTCCGCGCCGCTCATGTCGGCACACCCCTCACACGGTTCATGGCCCCTCAGGGGGCTCCACCGAAGGCCCGCGCGTCGTTGCCCATTTGCGTCTGCGCCACCCATTTCGGTACACCCCTCACAGGTTCTGCGGCCCCAAAGGGAGCTTCACCGAAGGCCCCAGTGTCGGTGCCCACATGCGACCGTGCCACCCAGGTCGGCACACCCCTCACACGCTTCGTGGCGCCATAGCGAGCTCCACCAAAGGTGGTCTTCACAACGGCGGTATTCGCAATTGCGTATGATCGGGTCCTCCGCCATGAAATTTCGCAATCATCCTGTGGTGTTGGGTCCTCGTTTTCAAGAGAGCGCCCCGCGTCCTCACTTCTCCCGCTGCCCTCCTCCTCCTCGTCCATCATCATCATCATCATCATCATCATCATCATCATCATCATCATCATCGTCATCGTCATCGTCATCGTCATCGTCATCGTCATCGTCATCGTCATCGTCATCGTCATCGTCATCGTCATCGTCATCGTCATCGTCGTCCTCGTCATCATCATCACCATCACCATCACCGTCCTCGCCCGTTTCAGCAGACTCCTCACAGCCTTCGTGGCCCCGTAGGGAGCTCCATCGAAGGCCCCACTGCTACCGTCCACAGGCCTCCGCCTCACCCATTGTCGGCACACCCCTCGCGCACGCTTCGTGGCCCCCTTGGGGACCTCCACGGAAGGCCCCAGCCGCCGTCCACATTTCGTACGCCCTCTGCCCCTTGCCCTCGGTCAAGTCGTACCCTTCCGCCGCCCCCCCCCCCCGAGTGGCCGCGCGCGGCGCCGCCGCTCCAGGGCCCGAGAGCCACCCGGGACGACGGCCAGGCCGGGGGAAGCACCCGGGGGGCGTCCCGGGGGCCCGCTGCTCTCTCGGGGGACCCCCCTGCGGCTCCACGCGGCCAGGGCTGCGGGCCTCCTGGAGGCCCACCTGACGTGCGGCGGGCTCGAGCTCGGTCCCGCGCGGTGGGCGCGCTCTGCTGCGCTCGAGTTTCGGGGGCGGCAAAGAGCCTGGCATCGCTCGGACGTGTGTTTATGTTTTCTCGGCGAGGACCATCCTGGACCATCGAGGCAAAAAAAACATGCACGAAACCGAAACATGCACGGGAAATTGACGTCCGAGCGACGGCAAGAGAGGGGGGTGATGACGAAGTTGGGGGTGTGGATCTCATGGCGGGGGCCACGATATCTGCACCAGGACTCATGGCGCCTCCTCTTCTTTCAGTGCGTCCCCGGCCTCCGCTCTGGGCGGCGCACATGCCTCCGGCCATGGTCTGCGCCCCCCTGTTGGACGCCCCCCTCTTGGACGCCCCCGATCGTCGTTTAGCTGCCACGTGCTCGTGCTCAGTCTGTTCATTTCTATTCTTGCCATTCGATGGGCCTTGCCTTTCGGGGGATGCGACAAGGAGCAGGGGGCGAGAGAGGGGAGCAGTAGGTGTTGAGCGCTTTTCGGTGGTGTCTGGAGGTTCTCGCCGCGCCACGGCCGGGCGCGGTTCCGAAAAGTGGTCGGTCGGGGGGACCGGCTTTGGGCGGCGAATTTGCCCAGGTGCGGGAAGGATCGGGCGTGGCTAGGACCGCGATATATCGCTCCAGAGCGTTCTGGAACGCTCTCAGACAGTTCTGGAGCGCTCCGGAACGGTCGCGGCGCCCGAGACGTTCTCCTGAACCGCAGGGTCCTAGAGATCTGTGACTTGTCCCTGTCCCATGTTGTGCAGGTCCTGACGTCGTCTCAGCAGAGCTCTGACTGTCGTGCCTCGGTACGGTCGAGGCGTTTCTCGATGTCTTGGTCTTTGCATCTTCCCGCGTTGGGGGTCGGAGAGGGAAGGGGAGAGGATGAGGAGGAGGAGGATGATAGAATGATGAGGATGATAAGCAGGGGTGGACGGATGGATGATGATGTTGCTGTTGATGATGGTGATGATTATGATAGCAATGGTGACAGTGATGATGTCGATGATGACGACGTTGATGACGATGATGATAATGACGCTGCTGCTGATGATGATGATGATGATGGTGATGATGGAAATGATGATGATGATGATGATGATGATGATGATGATGATGATGATGATGATTGTGATGATGAATGTGATGGTGGTGGTGATGGTGATGATGATGATGATGATTATGCTGCTGATGGTGATGCTGACGAAGATGATGCTGATGCTGAAGATGGTGCTGCTGATGATGATGATGCCATGAGTGTGATGATGACAACGACGATGTTGATGATATTTCTGATGTCGATGTCGTATGCGATGATGATGCAGCTGTTGTTGCTGCTGCTGCTGCTTCATATTCAGGTGGTCATGTTTCGATGATGCCGATGATGGAATTCATGATGACGACGATACTCCTGACGATAGTAACCACGAGAATAATCATGACGATGGCGACGACGATGGTGGTACTCATGATGTAGATCGCGATGCTTTATGATGGTGATGATGATGCTGCTGATGCTGATGGTGATGATGATGGCGGTGATGATGATGATGCTGCTGCTGATGATGCTGATGATGATGATGATGCGGATGATGATGACGCGGAGGAGGAGGATGAGGCGGCTGCTGGTGGCGGCCATGATGATGTTGGTGATCGAGAAGAATGTGCTGCTGATGATGATCATGACGACGGTGCTGATGCTGGTAATGGCGACGATGACGACGCTGGTGATGCTGAGGGTGAACATGAGGATGCTGATGACTATGATGATGACGATGATGATGCTGATGAGCTAATGCTGATGGTGATGGTGATGCTGAGGATGCTGCTGATGATGATGATTACGATGCTGATGCTGATGATGTGCTTGATGTTGATGATGATAATGCTGATGCTGATGCTGATGATGCTGACGGTGCTGTTGAAAGTGGTGGTGGTGTTGCCGCTGTTGCTGTTGCTGATGATGATGATTATTATGCATATGCTGCTGCTTATGAGGATGCCGATGATGAGGCTGCTGATGATGATGCTGTTACTGACGATGATGCTGATGATGACGATAAAGATGAAGATGATGCTGCTGATGCTGATGATGATGCTGATGATGATGATGATGATTATGATGCTGATGCTGGTGCTGCTGCTGCTGATGATGATGCTTATGACATTGAGGAGGAGGAGGAGGCGAAAGAGAAGGATGGGGGATGCGGAGGAGGAGGGGCGGGAGGAGGAGGAGGCGGAAACGGAGGAGGAGGAGGAGGATGAGGCGGAATAGGAGGATGAGACAATGATGTTGTTGATGCTGCTTACGACGATGCGGAGGGGGAGGAGGAGTAGGAGGAGGGTGAGGAGGAGGAGGAGACCACGATGATGATAGTGATAATGGTGATGATGATGACGATGATGCTGATCATGATGCTGATGATGTTGATGATTATGATGATGCTGATGCTGATGACGATGATTATGATTATGATGATGGTGATGATGATGATGATGCTGATGGTGATGATGAGGCTGATGACGATGGTGATTATGATGCTGATGCTGGTGCTCATGCTGATTATGATGCGGATGATGCCGACGGCGACGATTATGTTGTTGTTGATGATGTTGCTCCTGATGATGATGATGATGATGATGATGATGATGATGATGATGATGCTGATGATGATGATGATGATGATGATGATGATGATTATGATGATGATGATGATGATGATTATGGTGGTGGTGGCGGTGGTGGTGATGATGATGATGATGATGATGATGATGATGATGCTGATGATGATGATGATGATGATGTTGGTTATGATGATGATGGTGATGATGATGATGAGGAGGAGGAGGAGGAGGATGAGGAGGAGGGGGAGGGGGAGGAGGATGAGGAGGCAGGAGGAGGAGGGTGCGGCTGAGGATGAGGAGGAGGAGGAGGAGGAGGAGTTCCATAGCCATTTTGGCTCAACCCATTTTGGTTAAACCTGCGTTCTTCTCAAGGTGGTTGAGTCAACCCGCGATTGCGGGGGTCCCTCCATGTGGTTTCCAGGCCTGGGACCCCCCTTTGTGTTGTTCGTGCAGCATGCCCGAGAAGGGCAAGCAACAAGAGCCATGTGTGGAAATATGGCTGCTGTGTCCTAACAGGCGGTGCAACGTCAAAGATGATTATGAGTGGAGGGGCACTTGCTGGGTTACTGGAACCAGGACACCCAAGGCGCTAGGGGTGGTGGTTCCTGCTTCTGGTGGCGCTTGGGGCAAGCGCGTGCACATATACAGATGAGGAGTTTGCCTCGTGGTTGCAGCTCGATGAGCTCACCTTCCGCTCCCTCATGCCGTCCCTGTCGCAGTCTCGGAAGGACAAGTTTTTGCACCGCCGTGCCATGGCTGCGGCGGAGCTGGCGGAGCCCGTCATGTTGGCAGTGTAGGCCTCGCAGGACGTTGGTACTCTCTCCAGCCAGGTACTCGCGGCGCGCACTCGACACGAAAAGGTGCGGACGGCGGCCCAGGAGGCGTTCGACGATGTGGTCGGAGTCGAGGATGATTTTCCAGAGCTCCAGGGGAAATGCGACTCTGCCCACGCTCGGGCGGCGGGGGCCCTGGCGGTTCGTGGCCAGGGCCCTCAGTCGGCCCAGGCCCAGCAGGCGAGCCTTGCACTCGATGGCGTGGTGGGCGCGCTCGCGGCGCAGGGCGGCCAAGCGGCGCAGCTTGCTCAAGTCCTTGGCGCCGTTTTGCTGCTGCTTGCGGCCATAGGGGGTGCCAGCAGCCCCCTGCCGTGCCGCCCGTGGCGCCTGCCCCAGCGGGGGCAGCGGGTGGTGCAGCCGTTCCATAGGCGCTGCCGCCGGAGCGGCAGCAGCAGGTGATCAGGCCCCTGTCGTGCCAGAGGAGTTTGCTGCGTGGCGTCAAGATCATGGTGGGCACCCAGGCGGCGCTGCGTGGGATGGCATCGAGCAGGATGATCACGAGATGCGCGTTCCCGACGCTCATCCCGCAGCCCAAGGCGATCACATCGGAGGGCGATGGCAGGCTGCCCTGTTGGGGCTGGGCGATCTGCACCCGCGCCATATGGCAGCCAGAGAGGCAGCAGCGGAAAGAGCAGACGCGTTGGCGCCGCGGCCGCGCAGCCGCTCCCCAGCAGAGGTCGCGTCGGTTCTATCGGCTTTGCGTCGTGGCGCTGCTGCTGGCGGTCGGCGGCAGCGCTAGTAGCCCAGGTCACGGTGCGCAGGGTCATGGGGGTGGCCTACGCGACGGTCCCTACGGCCGTGGCGACCTAGGCGTTCCCTCGGACCCCTCGGAGGTGCCCTCCCTGCCGGCCTTCGGGAGTATCGTCCGCGCCTGGATCGCAGCCAGGAGTGGCCACTATCGGGTCGGGAGGGATGATGAGCGGCTGCCTCGCGGGTCAGCCGCGGCGCATCATGGTGATCGTCAGCTGGGTCATCCTTCGTCGGCGTCGGTGTCATTGGTGGTCGAGGTGACATTCGAGGTGGCCTTCGCTATCTCGAGGATCGCCAGCTGGGTCATCTCTCGCAGGTGCCGGCTTCCCCTGTGGGAGTTCATGGCGGTGCTCCTGGTGACGTTTCGACGGCCGTGGCGACCCTGCTGCCCCCTCGGGCCCTTCGGTGGCGCCCCTCCTGCCAGGCGCGTCGGGGCCTGCGGGGGCCCCTTCGGGGCCCAGATCGCAGCCGGGAGTGGGTGTCGCTGAATCGGGAGGGATGATGAGCGGGCAGCCATCCAGGTCAGCCGCGGCGCATCCCGCATACCTTCAGCTGGAACATCGCGCAGCGGGGGCGCCTCCTAAAGCTGGTCGCTGCGACGGCATCGGCGACGAGAAGGAGCCTTGGATTTCACCGCCTGCAACGCCACCAGCTGGGCCAGTGCGCAATATTTCTTGCAGGGAGCGGCGTGCGGCGTCGCCGTCGTGCTTCGGGGGGTCGGGGCGCGCCCTTGTGCCCATCGTGACTCCGAGGCGCCCCTGGGCAGGCTCGAATGGAACGCCGAGGCGTCGCCGTCCAGGTGCGCGGGAGGAGGGCCCTCAGGGGGCCCTGGGATCGCCGAGGGGCCTCGCGCTGGCGTCGGAGAGGCCGCAGTTCCGAAGCGGCCATGTCCTCCTGGGCCGGTTAGTTTGGCGTGGATCGACGGTTTAGTCCAAGATGATTTGATTGTTGCCTCAGTTCCCCCCCTGGTCACGGGCGGCCTGCAGCAGTTTTTTTTTTGCGGGGGGGGCGCTCGAGGCCTCGGGTCGGCCCTGTGTTCTGGGGGGCGACCGGTTCATGGCCCCGCGGGCTCTTCCGGCATCTGGTTGGCCTGGGGCTCTTGGAGCGTTCGTCGATGAGCCAGGCGCGCCTGCGCGTGGGAGTGGGGGGGCCTCCTGGAGCGCACTGGGTGTCTGCGTGGCGTCGACGGGCTCTCCGTTGGCATTCGGGGGCGCCCCAGATCGCGCGAACGCAGCGCGGCCCCTCACCGGGCCGTCCGCGTCGAGATTTGGCGAGCCCTGGCCCTGCAGCTGCTGTGTTTCAAGCTCCCCAAGCAGCTCCCCTTGGAAGTTCCGATTGGGCCTATTTGGCCCGAGCTGGTTTATGTGGGATAAGCCATGTCGTCGTCGCCGGGGCCGGGTGACTCGCTCAACGTGCACCGCGCGTTCTGTGAAAAGGGCCGAGGCCGAGTTGTTTCGGCGTCGCCGTCGCGCTCAGCAGGGCGCGCGTTAGTGCCGAGGGCGAGGGGTAGCCGCCGCGGTCGCTCACAGATTTGCGCTTGCGATGTCGGGCCCCCCCCCGCGCGCAGGCCTCGCTTGGGGGGGCGGGCTGGGAGAGACGTGCAGGCTCGACGCCAGGGGCTTCAGTATTTCTTGCTGCGCGGTCAGTTCGCGCCCAGGGGTGCTTCCAACTTGCGAAGGAAGATTCTGGTCTAGGCTGGTCGTCTTCGTGGTGGTCCTTTTCATAGGGGGCGGGTTCAGGGCCCGCCTGAGGGGCCCTGGAGTTCGCCGAGGTCCGCGCCCTGGGCGCTCGCATCGACGTCGCAACGGATCAGGCTAGAAAGTGGGGGGCAGTCTTCGCCGGGCAGAGCGCCAAGTCCTCGCGCGAGCTGGTCTGGGGGTCAGTCAAGGCAGGGGGCGGTCTAGCTCGCAGATTCTCCGAGGTCCCAGCGGCCCAGCCCCCCGGCCCCGCCTGCGGTGGGGCCACTAGAGGCACTGACGACGCCCTCCTCGGCTTTGAGTTGAAATGGGGAGATGTCAGGGGCTGGGGGTCTGAGGCTAGTGAGCGCAACCGCCAATATGATAGTTGCAGGTGTCTCGGGTATCAGGGTCTTGGGGAAGGGGGGGGGGTCTGATCCTCCTTCTGTTCCCGCTCTACGTGCTGCACTTCACCGATTCAGACCCTGGGCGGCTGTTTGAGCAGGCGGATGGTACCCGAGGGTAACGTTGCAACTTTCGGATTATGGTTTGGAGGCGCCTGGGCAATTCTTGGGGCGTCCGGGGCAGCGCGCGGCGTTCCCGCGTCGGGCCAGCGCCGCCGCGATCGGATGTCTGAACGAACCAGGCGCCAGGGAGAGACCCATCGGGACCCTGTGTACCTGCGCGCGCGCTGGCAGCATGTCGCAGGCTGAAGGCTAAGAAGTTCGGAAGGCTCAGTGGCCTCGTGACTGGGCCATCGGGATGCACGGCGGGAGCGGTGAGCAGGCGGCGTGGAGGCAGGCGGCGGTAGTATGGTGGGCCCACCTCGACGCTCAGTGCACCGCTTCTGCCCCCATCGATTTGCAAAATACGTGTGAGCACGTATCTCGCATCGGTATGATCCAGGCTGGGCAGAAGTATCGGCTCGGGCTTCTGAGGTTGGCGTTGTTGTCCTCTCTGTTTCAGGACCTAGATTGGTGCTATCGGGCGCTTTCTTGTCATCCAGCTTCCGCGCCGCTCAAGGTGTCATTGCGGTGTGTGTGTGTGTGTGTGTGTGTTCGCCGTGACGTTGCTTCGAGTGTTTCTCGTGGGCCCGTCGATTTCGTTCTGGGTCGGTTCCCCATCCTTGGCCGCCTACTTCGTGGCGGATGAGAGCTCGTTGTCGGCTGTGGGGCATTTTAGGATGGCGTGCCGCGCGCTGTCCGAAGGAGCGCGCTGCCTGTGTTGAGAGCTGGAAGACTGGGGATTAAATGCCTCGCCCAGTAAAAACAAAGTCACGGCCTCGTCCGCAGGACTCGCCATGACCCTGGTCCGGAGCCATTTGCGTTGGAACTTCCAAGGCGACGGAGGGGTCACCAATCTCGGTCTCGACGTCGCCGCTCGCTCCAGACATACTCGGAAGGTGCAGCAGGTCACTGGCATAATCAAAGGGGTCTGACAGCGCGCCTGACGGCCCAGGTTGTTGAGCCCCAGTAGGAAGAGCATCCATCATATCCAAGACTTGGGGGGGGGGGCAGCAGCGTTGCGCGGCGCTCGCGTGTTTGGTATTTCCAATGCGTCCCTGGCGGCCCTCAGATCAGCCGCGGGAGCAGCGTTTTCTGGGCCTGCTGCAGGCACGTCGCAGTCGTTGCAGTTTCTGCTCCGTTCGGATTCTTCGGGCCGTCCCCATTTGGGTAGCCAGTGCCTTGCCGTTCGTGTTCTGGGGGCGCGCTGTCGTTGACGGCCGAGCCTCCTTGGCCACGATGGAACGCGCGTTCCGTCGGGCTCAGCAAGTTTAAACGGTCGTGCTTGAGACCTGTGCTAGACCGTCCTGGCCACGCTTGGTAGACATGGGTTGGACTGCTGAGAGTTTCGGTCGGCGGTTGACGGCGCGCAGGGCCGTCGCGAATCCGCGCGAAGTCCACCCCGGCACGCTCGACGAGCTAGTTGACATTGGCACGGGGCGGGCGCTTGTGGAGGCTTCGCCAGGGCCCCCAGGCCTCGAGCTGCTCGAAGGAGCCCCTCTCTTGGAGCCAACTCGCGCTGCCCAGGCGCAGCTCCGACGAGGGGCGCGAGTCTGGGCTTAGTTGATATTGACTCGCGTGGCGGGTGGTCTTCCGGCGCAGGACAGGTTGTTCGAGGCTCGCTCGGCCGCGTCGTCGGAGTGCGTCGCGTGCGCAGGCGCTCCAGGGCCCCCGGGCCGCCGATTTTCTGTTGTGATTGTTTAACGACGGTTCGACAAGGGCTGGTCCTCGACGAGGCCGCGCGTGCAGGCAGCCAATGCGAGGTCAACGATCCATTGCTCGTCCGATGCCTGGCCGACTTCCTGTGGCGGCCACAGCCTCCGCCGTCTCGGCTGGGGGTGTTTCGCAGCGATGGGCCGCTTCAGGGAGGAGCTTTCGCTGGCCTCGTCGGCATTGACGGATCGCGTCTTGACCCCGGACTCGGCCATGCCAGCAGACCAGGGTGGGCGCGTTTTCCGGTGGGCGCCCACGGAGAATCATCAGGAGCTGTCTTTGGCACTCTCCCTACGGCGCTGCAGGAAATAGACCTGGCCAAAGTGTGGGCCTTGTACATGTGCATGCAGCATTATCTGGGAGCGCTGGCGATTGTGACCGAATGTAAAGCCGCGACCGATGGCTTCGTTTCGGGACCCGAAGCGACCTGCACAGCCACTCGCTTTGATTCCCTGGTTTTTGGTCCGCGTTTGGAAAAAGATGTAGGACATCGGCCGCGAGAACATGGAAATAGTTTGGATTCCATCTCGCACGTCTTGGCTACACGCCCAGGCGAAAGGTGTGGAATGGCGTCACTTCCGTCTGACAAGTTGGCAGACAAATTTGCTAAGACGGGGGGTCGAAGCCACGCATCTAGTCCCGCCCTGGCGGCCGCTAGCTTCCATGATGTTGATTGCCCTCGGCCTCGTCGCTCGTTCGATCCGTTCGTCCTGGTCTCGCATCCGAGGGGCCAACAGGGGAAGCTTCAGGACGGCCGCTGGGGATTTTGGTTTGTGGGCGTAGCTGCCTCACTCAGTCCCGCCTTGTTAAATCCAGGTGCCCTGGGGTCCATACCAAGCTCGCCCAGGTTCATTGGTCCCATAGGCTTTGGTGGTCTGGGGGGCCCGCTGGAACTGTGTGGAGCAGCGTATGTGGCGGTTATGCGAGGAGACAGGTCTTTGCGTTGGCTGAGCGCTGTGTTGGGCACGCTACAGGGGGTGGACGTTTCAGGGCTCTCAAGGAATGAAGGAGCGGCAAAAAACCCACCTCCAAGCAACTCTTGCTTCGTTCCAGCCCCGTGGTCCCCCCGCTTCACCCCCGCCGCGTCGGCCGGGTCCAGGGGAACCATGAGGCTCTGGTCGAGAAAGTAGAAATCAGCTGGGAGGTTCCAGACTAGCGGAATGTGAGTAATCAGGGCGGGTTCTTGCTTGTGCTCTGTCTGGCGATTGTCGTGGTGGATCGTGGATTGCGGTGGTTCCATGTGGGGCCACCCTCGGAGGAGTGGAAATCGGAATGAAGAGGAGGAGGAGGAGGAGGAGGAGGAGGAGGAGGAGGAGGAGGAGGAGGAGGAGGAGGAGGAGGAGGAGGACGAGGAGGAGGAGGAGGAGGAGGAGGAGGAGGAGGAGGAGGAGGAGGAAAAGGACGAGGAGCAGGAGGGAGGAGGCAGGAACACCCGACCCGGAGGAACACCCGAAACCCGAGGATGCCCAGAGGAGCGGGGAATGCGGCAGTGCGGCAGGTCCCGTGGTGCTGGCCGCCCCTGCGTGCCCCGTGCCGGTGCAGGGCGGCGTCGTGTCGGGCTCCTGCTCGGGTGTTGCCAGACGTGCCCCTGGTCCAAGGTGCCCCCTAGGATTTCCAATGAGGCCCCCATGGCCTCCAGAGAACCCGTCGCGATACCCAGAGGGTCCCATGGGGCTCCACGATGCAGCGAGAAGCTGGGAGCACCGTGTAGGCCAGAGGCAACTTTAAGGCAACCCCCGAGGCTCCTGCCTGGCTGCGCTGGCGTTCACCCTGGGCCTGGGCGTCGGCGTCGGCCGGGCCGCCCTGGAGATCGGAGCTGGCCGCGGGTTACTGGGCATCACGCTGGCGCACGCCGGCGCCGAGGTGCTCGCTTTCGGGGAAGCTCGTCGTCGTCGCCGCCGCCGCCGCCGCCCCCGTCGCCGTCGCCGTCGCCGTCGCCGTCGCCGTCGCCATCGTCGTCGTCGTCGTCGTCGTCGTCGTCGTCGTCGTCGTCGTCGGCCACTTGGCGTTCGTTTGGGGGTTTGCTGCGGGGGGTGACCGTCGTGGTCGGGGCTGCAGGCGGTCCGATGTATACACCACGTCTTTTGGTCGGTCAAAGAGCCAACCACTTGACGATGAAATTTGGTTTATAGGCGCTTCAGCGTCCCACAGGTTGGGCAGCTGGTGCGTCTGTGCACCGAGCTCCTTGCCCGGCCAAACGACGTGGTGCATATATCGAGCCCCTCCCGCGTCCCAGATCCTGGCGTCGCATTCGTTTCTCACGCTGAGCGTTTTCGCCAGGCTTCGGGCCCCGACACCATCACAGATCAATGCGCCTTGAAAACCTGCTCGGGAAGACGGGGTCGAGAAGACGGGAAACTTGCTTGCTCTACCGTGTTGGGTTCGTGTTTTGAGTGAAGCCCTTTGGTCTCCGCAGGCCCACGCCCCCCCGCCTCCCCTGTCCCCCCTCAAACATCGCAGTGCCCCGTCCGCCGCAACCATTTTATCTCTCGCGTCGCAGTCCGCCCCAGCCCCCCATGTCGTCACTGTTCTCCAGTAGCCCAGTGCCCCCTCCGCCCCGACCACTTTCCTGTCCGCGTCGCAGCCCCCCGCCCCACCCCACTGTCTCCACTTCCCCCTCCCCGCCCTCCCACCCCTCGGGCCAACGCCCCCCGCCTTCCTGTCCCCACTGTCCTCCAGCAGCCCGGGTGCCCCTTCCGGCCCGACCACTCTTTGTTTCGCGTCGCGGCCCCCCTACCCACCCCCTCTCCGCCGCAGTGTCCCCTCCGCCCCGATCATTTTACTGATCGCGTCGCAGCCCGCCCACCTCCCCCGCGGGACACCGCCACCGCCCCCGGCCCCCGCTATCCTCCAGCAGCCCAGTCTCCTCCTCCTCCTCCTCCTCCTCCTCCTCCTCCTCCTCCTCTTCCTCCTCTTCCTCCTCCTCCTCCCTCCCCCTCCTCCTGCTCTTCTTCTTCTTCTGCCTGAGTCTGCTAGCGTCGCCTCCTGTGCACGCTTGTGGCCGCGCCTGGATAAACAATACTCCTGCTCTTCTTCTTCCTCATCCTGCTCCTCCTCGTCCTCCTCCTTCTTCTCCCTCCCTCCTCCTCCTCCTCCTCCTCCTCCTCCTCCTCCTGCTTCCTCCTCCTCCTCCTGCTCCTCTCTCCCTCTCTCCTCCTCCGCCCTCCGTCCTCCTCCTCCTCCGCCTCTCTCCTCCTCCTCCGGCTCCTCCTCCTTCGCCTCCTCCTCCTCTCCTCCTTCTCCTCGCCCTCCTCCTCCTCCTCCTCCTCCGTCCCTCCTCCTCCTCCTCCTCCTCCTTCTCCTCCTCCGCCTCCTCCTCCTCCTCCTCCTCCTCCTCGTCCTGCTCCTCCTCCTCCTTCTCCTCGTCCTCCTCCTCCTCCGCCTTCTCCTCCTCCTTCTCCTTCTCCTCGTCCTCCTCCGCATCCTCCTCCTCTTCTCCTCGTCTCCTCCTCGCCTCCTCCTCCTCCTGCTGCTCCTCCTCCTCCTCCTCTCGTCCCTCCTCTTCTTCGTCGTCCTCCTCATCCTCCTCCCTCCTCCTTCTCCTCCTTCTCCTCCTGCCCCTCCTGCTTCTCCGCCTCCTCCTCCTTCTACTCCTTTTCTCTTCTCCTCCTCCTCCTCATCATCATAATATTCTCCTCCCCTCGTCCTCCTCCCCCCTCCCCTCCTCCTCGACCGCCCTCCTCCTCCTCCTCCTCCTCCTCTTCTTTCTCCTCCTCCTCCTCCTCCTCCTCCTCCCTCCTCCTCCTCCTCCTCCCTCCTCCTCCTCCTCCACCTCTCCCTCCTCCTCCGCCCTCCTCCTCCTCCTCCTCCTCCTTCTCCTCCTCCTCTCCCCCTCCTCAGCTCCTCCTCATCCTCCTCCTCCTTCTCCTCGTCCTCCTCCTCCTCTCCTGCCCTCCTCCTCCTCCTGCTCCTCCTCCTTCTCCTCCTCCTCCTCCTCTCCCCTTCTCCTCCTTCTCCTCCTCCTCCTCCTCCTCCTCCTCCTCCTCCTCCTCCTCCTCCTCCTCCCCCCACCTCCTCCACCTCCTCCTCCTGACCTCTTGCGAACCCTACCCCTTGCGGGTTCAGTCGACGCCGGGGAGCTGGACACCCTCGCAGGAGGTTCCAATTGGCTGCGGTCACCGTGTATGTCCTCCTCGGAGGGCTTAGGGGAACGTGCAATGGCATAAATATATAACTCGGAGGTCCGCGCGGATTTCTCGAATCGGCGCTGGGGCCGCCTGGTGCCGCCTCTGGCGCCGCCCCTGACGCGCTCCGCGCGCCAGGGAGGGGGGTCCAGCGCAGATCCAAGAAATCCGCGCGGAGCGCCAAAAGTTCATGTTTCTCTCGTTTTTGTCTTGTTCTGCCTCGGAGAGCTGCCCAGGTTTCCCTCGCGCTTCGTGGATGCAGAAAGACCGATTCCTCCGAGGCACCGTGCAGCTGCTGCCTTGTCGGCTTTCGCAGAAGCCACCTCGCATGCGGATTCAGAGCTGCCGACGCATCTGCCGATGTGCTGTCTAGGCGCGGCCTGTCCCCGTCAGACGGTTTCAGTCCTGACCCAGAGCGTTTCCTCAGAACGCTGACCTGCAGGGGTAGGGTACACGTGCGGCTGCCTGACTCGGCGGCCAGCCACGCGGGAGAAATAGCGGGCGAGCCCCCTCAGAAGGCTCAGGAGCCCCCCGGCCTTCTGAGAAGTCTCCCGGGCCTGTTCCTCGAAGGCGCCTTTTGAGAGGGCCTCCTCCTCCTCGCTCGTCCCCCCCCCTCGGCTGCACGCAAGAGTGGCCCTTCGCCGGAGTGACCCTTACGGTGCGGGCCCAGTGGGGTCCCCCCGCCGCCGAGCTCGAGGCGACGGCAGCGGCCTGCGCGCCGGGCGGTGTCCCGCAGGGGCCCTCCTCGGCCGCGCACGGAAGGCCACGCCTGCCCGGGGCCGCTCCTTGCGTGCAGCCGGCACCCACCCACACCCTCGCTCGCCCTTCTCCTCCTCCTCCTCCTCCGCCTCCTCCGCCTCCTCCTCCTCCTCCTCCTCCTCCTCCTCCTCCTCCCTCCCCTCCTCCTCCTCCTCCTCCCCCCCCTCGCTCGCCGCCGGCGGGTGGGGCCCTTCGCCGGCGGCGCGGCGGGCTCCCCGCAGGTGGTGGTCACGGACGCGGAGCCCGCGGTCTGCGAGGCGCTGCGGGCCAGCGTGGAGCAGGCGCCCTTCGCGCGCATTTTTGCGCCCGGGGCCCCCCGCATGGTCGGGAGGAGGACAAACACACACGGACACACTTATAATCGTCGAGTCGCCGGAGAATGTGGGAAGCGGAGGGGAAGACGAAGATCTCCAAAGATATGGAAGAATATCGGGAATCCTGTTATTTGTGTGTATTGATGTGTGTGTATTTATGTGTGCGAGTCCCCCAAAAATTCAAAAATATCGGGAATCCGGTTAGTTCGGTGTATTTTGTTATATTTATATCTGTACGTGTGTGTGTGTGTGAATGTGTGTGTGTGTGTGTGTCCCAGGGCCCCTTCACACTGGGCCCGACCTGGGGCCAGGCTCGGCGCGTGCGCCCTGCGGTAGGACGAAGTGCAAGACGAGGACGGCGTCGGGCGAGGGGCGCGCCGAGCAGCTCCGAGCTCCCGGCGGCTCCGGAGGACGTCTCGGGGGCCGCGGCCTGCTCGGAGCGTCCCCGAGCACTCTGAGATCAGGAGGGGAAAAGACACACAGACACAATAGATCGTCGATTCCCCGGAAGATATAAGAAAGTATGGGAAGTGGGGGGGGAAAGGCAAAAACCCAGAAACTATGTGAACATACAGGGCATCCTGTTATTTGTGTGTATTTATTTGTGTGTCCCAGGGCCCCTTCATGAGGGCGTGCTGGGGAGCGCTGAACAGGTTTATCCTCGTCCTAGCCCCGTCCGATCCTGGCCCTTTTTCTCAAGCAGTGGCGTGGCGTCCTGGCTCGCCTGTAGGCCCGCCAAGGAAGGTTCTGAGGACCTCTTGAGGTCAGCAACTCTGGCCGAGGTCGTCTTGTTTACGCGCCTCGGCTCTAAGGTCCTTGTTTTTGGTCTCAGGGCATCCCCTCTCGCTCTGGCACCACGTCGTGGTATAGGTCTATAGGAGTGCCGGGACGGTCGGTCCCTGCGCAAGTTGAGGGGCGAAGCGCGCGCGCGCTCGGACAGCTTGCGGTGCGTGCGCTGTGGCGGGCGCTCCCTGGCCATGCCGCGCGGGACGCGGTGTACGCTCGAAGACCTGGGTGCTGCAGTGATCGTTTTGTTCCCCATATCCTAAGATGGGGTTCTTGTTATTATTTCGACGCCTCCTACTCCTTCTTCCTCTTCTCCTCCCCTCTCCTCCTCATACCCAGACAATTAACCAGATCCCACTGCACATATGGGGATCTCCACGCAGTGAGTAATTATGTATTGTTTTGCCGATCGGCGCGGGCGAGTCGCACCCCCCTCCCCCCCCCCTCCCATGACACCTTGTCTGTGATGGGCGTCTGTTCCAGCAGGTGGAGTCTCCCCGGTGGGACGCCCTGCTGCGAACAGCCGCCCCAAGCAGATGTCCGGAGCCAGACCTCCCCCTCCTCCCCCCCCCTTGCCCCCAATTCGGGTATAGCCAGGACCCTGGTCAAGGGGAGCCGGTTAGGGACTGGGCTCCGAAGCCCAAAATATGGACCAGAACCACTGGATCCAGATCTGCCGTAGCTGGTGTTCTTCGGGTGACGGCAGTTCCGGTTAGTGGAACGGGCGGTCACTAAACCAGGCCTCACTAAACCAGGTCTCAAAAAACCAGTACTCACTAAACCAGGTCTCTCCCAGTACAAGTCACTAAACCAGGTCTCCCCCAGTACAAGTCACTTCGCCACTAAACTTGTACTGGGGGAGGTCCTCCCCCAGTACAAGTCACTAAACCAGGTCTCACTAAACCCAGTTCTGCCAGCGCCCGACCGGTGTCGAAGCGCCAGAGAAGCAAACGCTCACAAGTGTGTTGTTGCCCCGGGCGTGCGCCTCCCGCAGCAGCACGCAGAGCGCTCCTGCACGCAGCGAGCCACCGAGAGCTGCAGGGCCGCCTCCGCGGCTCAAATGAGGGAAGGACGGGCAACTTTCCAAAGGGTACGACGACGACGACGACGACGGAAGACGACGACGGACGACGACGACGACGACGACGACGACGACGACGACGACGACGACGACGACGGCCACGACCACGACCACGACCACGACCACGACCACGACCACGACCACGACCACGACGACCACGACGACGACGACCACGACGACCACGACGACGACGACGACGGACGACGACGACGACAATCTCGGCCCATCCTTGGCGGCTTTCGCTGGCCGCGCCCCGCTCGCAGAGTGTCGACGCGGCCCTCCAGAGGCCCGTGCAGCCCCTCGCCGCGCACCCGTCTCCGAATGCGGGCCGGCTGCCGGCCCGCCGTGGCCGGAAGAGCCCCATCCGCTCCTTGGCATGCGCTCCCGCTGGCAGCGCTGCTGAGGCTTGCGCAGTACATGCCCGGGTCGGAGTGGGGAGGAGGAGGAGGAGGAGGAGGAGGAGGAGGAGCAGGAGGAGCAGGAGGAGCAGGAGGAGGAGGAGGAGGAGGAGGAGGAGGAGGAGAGGAGGAGGAGGAGGGAGGAGGGGGAGGGGGAGGAGGAGAAGGAGGAGGAGGAGGAGGAGGATGAGGAGAGAGGAGGAGAGGAGGGGAGGGGGAGGAGAAGGAGGAGGCGGAGGAGAGAGGAGGAGGAGGGAGCAGGAGGAGGCGGAGGCGAGGAGGAGAGGAGGAGAGGAGGAGGAGGAGGAGGAGGAGAGGAGGAGGAGAGGAGGAGGAGGAGGGAGGAGAGGAGGAGGAGGAGGAGGAGAGAGGAGGGAGGAGGAGGTAGGAGGAGGAGGAAGAGGAGGAGGAGGAGGTGGGGAGCCTTCAAGATCAGCACGCACAGTCGACCCGCACAGCAAGAACGAGCGACCCTCGAAGGGCACCCCTGCATCTCTCGCCCTCGGCCCACCCCTGGCCGCCCTCGCTGGCCCCGCCCCGCTCGCAGAGTGTCGACGTGGCCTTCCGAGGCCCTTGCATCCTTCTCGTGCGTCCTTCTCGTGCCCCTGAGATCCGACGTCGCAGGCAGAAACATTGCATGATCGGAACTGACCACGACCGGAGCCCCGGACCCCATCCTTCCGCGTCGTCTCTCGAGCCAGATCGCTCTGCGCGGGTCCTCGGGCCCGCAACATTGCGCGAGCAGCCCCGGCGTGAGAAACGTGTAGCGCCAGGATCTCGGGGACGGGATGGCCGCGTCCCACAGGCGGGCCCCGCCCGCCCGCGCCTGAGCGCGCGCGAGCTCGACTGGGACGACGGCCTGGGCGACCTCCCGCCGCCGCCGGCCGCGGGCGCCGCGCCCCTGCTGCTCGGGGCCGAGCTGCTGTGGGCCGACGACGCGGTGGACCTCGTCGCCGCCGCCGCCGTCGCCGTCGTCGTCGCCGCTGCCGCCGCCGCCGCCGTCGTCGCTGTCGTCGTCGTCGTCGTCGTCGTCGTCGTCGTCGGCACCGTCGTCGCCGCCCCCGTCGTCGTCGTCGTCGTCGTCGTCGTCGTCGTCGTCGTCGTCGTCGTCGTCGTCGTCATCGTCGCCGCCGCCGCCGCCGTCGTCGTCGTCGTCGTCGCCGCCGTCGTCGCTGTCGTCGTCGCCGTCGTCGTCGTTGTCGTCGTCGTCGTCGTCGTCGCCGTGGTCTAGGTGCAGCCGGACCGAGGTAATTATAGGAGCGAGGTCCGTTCGGGGAGGGTGCCCTACTGTTCTCCGTGCTTGTCGGATGCGCTTTCTGGCACCCTTGGATGCTCTGTTTCGTTCTTTGCTGACGGTGGGCCTCGTGTTCGTGAAGGACGCTCTGCTGGCTTGGGTCCGACTGCAACGGCGGTGCAGGGTTCGGTGCTGCAGGTGGGGTTGCTTCGTGACCAGATCAAACGTAGGACAGCGTGGTTCGTGGTCTCCAACAAGTCGCCGCGGCGTTCTGCTCGACACGCTCGCTTAATTATCGGACATGTCGGAGAGTGCGGTTCGTGATTTTCTACCACTTGTTCTGCGCGAGCTCGGTGTCGCAAGAGCCAGATTCCTGGCAACACCGTTGACCAACATCGCCGTTTGCGTGGCCTTTGGCTGTCCAACTCTAGGCCTCCCAGATGGGGTCGGAGTACAGTCAAAACGGACAGCAAGGATGAAGGATGATGATGATGATGATGATGATGATGATGATGATGATGATGATGATGATGAGGAGGATGATGATGAGGAGGATGATGATGAGGAAGAGGAGGCGATTGTCCAAGGGTACCTTTGCATCCTTTCCATTCGGTCCATCCTTGGCTGCTTTCGCTGCCCACGCCCCGCTCGCAGAGTGTCGACATGGCCTTCCAATGCCCTTGCGTCCTCATCGTGCGTCCTCATCATATGCATTGACCGTAGATGGGGCCAAAGGCTCGCGCCATATCGCCGACGCATCGACGATGCGGCGCAACCTTTCGACACCATCTACTCCGACCCCAACTGGAAGGCCCTCTGCTCCCTCTGCTAAGCGATCCACTCCCCATTGTGCCATCCCAGACATTGTCGCGTCTTGAGGTTTTTGCTTGTTTTTGGCCTCTGGGGGCCCTCGCTGGGCCACGGGGCCGTCAGAGAACGCGACTCCGGGTGAAAATCTGGTCCCGGGAGGGTCGGGGTTTCCGGGGACTGCGTGTTGCAAGCACCAAGGCGTCGCATGTCTGGGATGGTCTCTCGGCCCTGCCAGCCTCCACTGCCCCAGGTTGGGATGAGCCCCGTGAGAGTCGAAGCGCGCAGCAAACAACTCCCACCTGCGGAGTTCAGTCGGCATGCGGCATGCCACGGTCTGCGGCGAGCCCATGGGGGGAGGGCGGAAGGGCGGGCCTTCTCGGAAGGTTCAGAATGCCTCTGTCCTTTGCGAAGAAGCTTCCCGAGCCTTCTTCGAAGACGCAGGGTTTTTTTCCAGAAGGCGCGAGGTCTTCTGAGAAGCTCCGCGACCTTGCAGGAAGGCCTGCACGCTTTCACTTTCCCCTTGGATCGCCGCCGACAGCGGGGATGGGTATCAGTCAATCGTTCCTCAGGACTCGCTCTGGCAGGCCGTGTCGCCGGCGGTGCTGGAGCACGGCTGGGAGTTCGTCTACGGTGCAGCGGACCGGCCGTCCAACGAGGCCCTGCTGCAACTGCTGGCGGAGCAGGAGTCGGCCACGCGCAGAGGGAGGTAGGGGGAGGGGGGAAGGCTTCTTAGAAGCACCCCTGCTTCTTAGGAGGCGCGGGCCTTCTCTGTAGATGTAGGGCTGGCGCCTTCTGAGAAGCAGGCGCCTTCCAAGAAGCCAGCTCCCCTCCCCCTACCGCCTTGTGCGCGCCACCAAAGGAGGGCACGCGCCTCGAGGTCAGCTCCTGGATGGTGCCCCGGCCGCGGAAGCGGGGAGGGAACGGACCGGCCTCGGAGACAGCAGGGAAGGGGACGAGAGGGGAACGACGGGGCAGGTCGCGAACGTTCACCAGATCTGGCCGGTTCGCCATGGCGGTAGCGGGACCAGACGGAAACGAGTATTGAGGTTTTTCGAAGTTTCGGGCTCTCGGGGCCCTCCACGGGCCCCAGGGTTGTCAGAAAATGGTTCAGGATGAAGATCCCATCCTGGGTGGCCCAAGGCACCAGGACCCGCTTCCCATAGGACCCGCTTCCCCCGTGCTAAGATCCAGGCGCTACATTCTTTCACACCAGGCGTTTTCGCCAGCTCTCGTCGGTCTTCCAGCCTCGGGGTGCTCTCCAGCAGCTGCGCCTCGTCGAGGGCGCTCCGAGGGTGCTCAGATCGTCCCGAACGGCCGCTGGGCCCGGAGTGAAAGTGTGGCCCGAGAACAAACAGACAGATCCTGGCGCAGCACTTTCTCACCACGGGCGATTTTGCCTTGTCTCGGGCCCCTCCTCCTTCTCCTTCCCTTCTCCTCCTCCTCCTCCTTTTCCTCCTCCTCCTCCTCCTCCTCTCCCCTGCTTCCCAGCGCGGATCGCTGCAGCTCCGTCCTCGGCGGCGGCCGTGTTCGGGGCAGGCCCGCGGGGGGGCAGGCCGGCGGGGCCTCGCCGGCGCGCAGGCGGGGCAGGGGCAGGGCGGAGGATACAGTCGATCCTCCAATTAATCGTCGATCCCTCCCCCCCCTCCTCCTCCTCCTCCTCCTTTTCCTCCCCTCCTCCTCCTCCTCCTCAATCCTCCTCCTCCTCCTCAATCCTCCTCCTCCTCCTCCTCCTCCTCCTCAATCCTCAATCCTCCTCCTCCTCCTCCTCCTCCTCCTCCTCCTCCTCCTCCTCCTCCTCCCCCTCCTCCACCTCCCACAGAGGAGGGGAAAAACACATAGGCACAACGAATCGTCGATCCCCAAGAGAGAGTGGGAAAATATGAGAAGTGGGGGGGAGGACGAAAGCCCAGAAGATATGAGAAAAGACGAGGAATTCTTTTATTCGTGCGTATTCATTTGTGTGTCCCAGGGCCCCTTCACTGAGTAGTATGTCGACCCTGCCAGCTCAAGGGGGCCCTTGTGTCCTGTGCTGTGCGACACGTGCCCTCTTACACTCCTATGGCGATGTGGCCTTCGGAAGGGCCTCGTGTCCTCTCGCGTGTCCTCTCCAATCCGCGAGGGACCCGTCGGCTTCTGGCAATCTTGGGATGAGGTCACTGTGCCGTCCCCTATGAGACCGCCCGCCTGCGCGGTTTCGCCTCGCGCCATTCTGCGGTTGAGTGGGCTGAGGATCGGGCGAAGAGAACTATGCACATGCACCGATCCTGACAACGTCCATCCTTGACCCAGGATCGGTGCATATACTTTCCTAGCCAAGGTAAGAGTGCGTATGCACCGATCCTGGGCTCAGGATGGGCCTGGCCAGAATCGGCGTATGTGCATAGTTCTCTTTCCTCTAGAGGAGTTGCGGCGGGCGAAGGTCCCGGCCAAAGCGATTAATTCAGAACTTGTCGGCGCTTCCCAGACGATGAGAGGGTTTAGCCTGGTACTGCCGCGTATCGGCACGGCTGACTCGCCGATGCACCACTACCATTTCCATTACCTCCCTCCTCACTCTTCCTCCCTCCTCTGTCCTCCTAATCCTCCCCCTCCTCCTCTCTTCGTGGAAATACACGCAAGCCTTCGAAAAGCTTTGGGTGCCTGCGAGCACAATCGAATAACCTCCTCCTCCTCCTTTTTCGCACCTCGTCCTCTTTGTCCTCCTCCTCCTCCTCCTTCTCCTCTTCCCATCTGTCCCCTATATCTTTTTCTGTCTGTTCTTCTTCCTCCTCGCTCCTCAAGGGTCTTCCAGACCCTCCCGGGAACGCAACCCCTCCGCTCTCCTCCCTCCCTCCGTTCCTCCCTCCTCCCCCCCCCTCCTTCCATCCCTCCCTCTCTCCCCTCGCTTCCTACCTTCACCTTCCCTCTTCAGCCCAGGTTTGCCAGGGCTGCCCCCGCTGCCGCGGCTGGGTGACCCTCGAGCGCTGCAGGGTCGCTTGGTGGCGCCTCGCGGAATCCACAGCGAGATGAAAGCGGCGGGTCGTGATCGTTGTCGTCGTCGTCGTCGTCGTGGTCGTTTGTGTCGCCGCCGCCGCTGCCGCCGCCGTCGTCGTCGTCGTCGTCGTTGTTGTTGCTGCTGCTGCTGTTGTGATGGTTGTTGCTTGTGCTGATGTTGCTGCTGCTGTTGTTGTTGTTGTTGTGGTTGTTGTTGTTTTTTCTTGTTGTTGTTATTGTTGGTGTTGTTGTTGTTGTTGTTGGTGTTGTTGTTGTTGTTGTTGGTGGTGTTGTTGTTGTTGTTGGTGGTGGTGGTGGTGGTGGTGGTGTTGTTGTTGTTGTTGTTGGTGTTGTTGGTGTGGTTGTTGTTGTTGATGGTGTTGTTGTTGTTGTTGTTGTTTTTGTTGTTGTTGTTGGTGTTGTTGTTGTTGTTGTTGTTGTTGTTGTTGTTGAACATTATTAATTCTAAAGAATAATTATTGTTGGGGCCCCTGGTGCACGGCCCCCCTGCGCCGCCTAGGCCGCAGCTACATTTTCATCATTTTCGTGAGGAAGCCTCAGGTAATTCGATGTGATCAAGATCCGGTTGTTTTGTTCCCCCCCGCTTTCCCTTGCAAAAAACACTATAAAATGACATTTCTTGTTCTAATATAATCAAATTTCAAGAATCCCTTGCAAAAAATAAGGTAAAGTGGACATTCGCGCGCGCAAGACGAAATCCTTCCAAAAGCTTAGTGTTCGGAGCGATTTTAACATAAAAACATCAAAAAACCAATGGTTTTTCAACAAAAAAATGTCAAAATCTCATCCCGCGCGCTCTTGCGGATTCGTAGGAAACCCAACACTTTTTAAACATTTCTGTCAAACGGGCTTTTGCGAGCAACTTTTTCGAACTTCTGCGACAACGGTTGCGCACCTGCCAGGGCCATCATCCCTGTCAAATAATACCATGCGGGACACATTCGTTTTTTCTTCGCGCGCGCACGCCGAAATCTCCAAAAACCATTGGGCTTCTTAAGAATTTTAGCACCGCGCATCATAAAATCACACGAATCGCACCGTAGGTCCTCGAAAAACACCTGCACGACTTTTCAAAATTTCTACCCGCGCGCGCTGTCCGAATCCTAAAAAAAACAAGTGGTTTTCCAACATTTATGTATCATGTACCATATGCATCATATGCAACAGATGTTCTGTGGAAGGCTTAACAACTTCTGTGGGTTAACAAGGCTTAACAACTTCTGTGGGTGTACGAACGTAGGCTTAACAACTTCTGTGGGTGTGTACTCCACGCCAGTGTAGTAGCCACGGTCGTCCGCAGGCCACGAAGTGAAGTGTCCGAACGTCATAGGGCGGGAAGCTGGGTGTGGGTGGTGGCGAAGAGTCGTGTGGATATTTGGTAGAGCTTGCACTGCCCCCCCACAAAGTGGGGGTATTGGCTGGCGTCGCATGAAAACCCTGGCACTGGTGAGAACACTGAGCGTTCGGGTAAAGTGATTGTTGTTGTTGTTGTTGCTGTTGTTGCTGCTGCTGTTGTTGTTGCTGCTGTTGAATGTTAACAGACCGCGGGCGATAATAAAGTACCCCCCATTAAACCCCCCGAATGTTTCTATCTCTGGCCACAGGGATTTATGTGGGGATGACGCAGAGGCCGAATTTTAGTATCCACGGAAAAGTTATGGGGATGGAAGTTGCTATCGTATCGTGTTGATTAGCAACAACGTCAAAAGCGCTGAGCCTGGCCATGGTGGTCGCACCACGCCAGCTTCCGCAATCACGAGCGTGTGGCAGGGCTGTGGGATTTTCATCCGTTCAGTTTGCCCACGTCACGAACGGGCGGCAAGGCGATGACAACATCATTTTCTTAGCCGTTCCCGTGTCAGGAACGTGTGGCAGGCCCATCGGGACCGATGGGATTTTGATTGCGCATGCGCTTACAGCGGAGTTAATTCGTTAAGTGCATTACTTGTTTAGCGCACCCCTCACACGGTTCGTGGCCTTTTTTTCCTCCTCCTTTTTCTCCTTCTCCTCCTCCTCCTCCTCCTCCTCCTCCTCCTCTGCCCCCGCAGCTGCCCAGGCCCAAGCTTCCCCGAGTTTCCCAGGCCCCAAGAATTCGAGCCTCTTCGAGGCGCCGAGCCTCTTCGCCCCAGGGGCAGCGATAAGGGGGGGATAGGCATGCCTATGCATCGGCGATGTATCGCCGATGCCTATCCCCCCCCCGCATCGTTGCCCCTGACTGCGCCGCGAGCCCCAGCGATGGCCCAGCCCGCCGGACGCGCCGCGGCGGCGAGCGCCCCCGTCGAGGCGCTGAAGAACGTAGCGGCCCCGAGCCAGAGCTCGAACGAGATTCTCGAGCCCATGGCCAATCAGAGCGAGAAGATCCTCGATGCATTGTCCTACATCGCCGAGAAGGCCTCCATCGCCGAGATGCGCCAGTGCCAATCGAGCGCGCAAGGCACGGCTGCAGCGAGGATGGCGAGCTGCCACTTCAAGGCCGAGAGCGCCTCGTGGTCAAGCAGCGCCCAGCAAGCCGTGCTCGAGATGGTCACCCGGGCGGGTCTTCGAAGAGCATCGAGCACAGCCGCATCTTCAACGAGAAGGAGAAGAGGCGCATCGAGCTGGCCGTGGCGGTGTTCTACAAGACCTGCGTCGAGAAGGGCGATCACGTGCATGACATCTGCGAGAACCGCAGAGAGCCGCTCGAGGACCTTTTGTGGCTCACGCCGAGCTTCAGGGCCAAGCTGCAGGAGCTCGCCAAGAAGATAGACATGGAGCTCGGCACCGAGAGCGTCAAGAAGCTGACCCACGGCTCCTACGCCGAGCGCATCTGCCGTGCCCTCCCAAGCGTCCCCGCCGAGCTTCTCCACCTCCACGAGGTAATGTTGCCGCTCAACAAGAAGTTCGAGCCCGTCGAGCACTTGGGCGAGTGGCGCGCCGTGAGTTCCGATATGCTCTTCAACGTGACTCCGAGCAGGGCCGGAGTGTTCGTCGAGTGGTGCGACGAGACTTCCACGGTCTCGATCGCGACTGACGGGGTCGCCGAGGCCGCCACTCAAGCAGTTATCAAGTGGTGCTGGTCCATCAAGAAGACCGCCGACATTAGCTACGAGCTGCGCGGGCAAGCCCGCCCAGACAAGCGCGCCAAGCGGGAATGCTCAAAAACCATCGAGCAGCAGCAGCGCGATCAGATGGCTTCTCGAGAGCCACATCGAGCTGCACTTCGACAAGTTCGCGTCGATCCAGGCCGAGTGCGACGAGCTCGCCACGAGCAGGCGCGATGACTAGAGGAGCCAGGCCGACGGGAAGGCTGAATCAGAGCCCGCCTCGTTCAATGTCGCGGGCGCCTGAGCGCGCGAGCTCCCCGAGCCGAGCGCCCCATGTTTTTCGATGCGAGGGCGCCGTTTCGAGGCGCGCGATCGAGCCCCATCTGCTTTTCCAGCTCCAAGAGAGCGCTCGAGCACGCGCGAGTGGCGTTCCAAGCTGCGGGGCGCTACTCGACCCTCTCGCCGAGTGAGCCTCGATAGCGTCGAGGATTCAAGCGGGCTCGATCCTCCATCCTCGGATCGATGGCTCGAGATCTTGAGTCCGAGCATATTCGGGCACCTTGGGTCCTACGTCCGAGGGTCGCCAAGCTTGGGCTCGAAGGCATCGGGTTCGCGATCCGAGGATTGAGGATCGAGCATCGGCGGTCCTCGATCGCCGCGCTGCCATCGAGCATGCTCGCCACCCCCCCATCCTCGGATCGAGGGTCCGAGATCTTGAGTCCGAGCATCTTCGAGCACATTGGGTCCTAGATCCGGGGGTCGCCAAGCTTGGATTCGAAGATTTCGGGTTTGACGCCCGAGGCCCGAGGGCCGAGAGTGAGTGATAGCAGATGGCCCTCGCCGCCGTCCTCTAACCCACGCTGCCGCCAAGCAGGCTCGACCTCCATCCTCGGATCGAGGATCCGAGATCTTGGTCTTGCGCGTGCGCGAGCACCTCGGATCCTAGATCCGAGGGTCGCCAGGCCTGGGCTGGAAGATCTCGGGTCCGACGTCCGAAGCTCGAGGGCCGAGCCCAGTGCTCCTCCAGTCGCCCGCGGACCCACGCTGCCACCGAGCAGGCTCGATGTTCCGTCCTCGGATCGAGGGTCGGAGATCTTGGTCTTGAGCGTCTGCGAGCACCTCGGATCGTAGATCCGAGGGATGCCGAGCTTGGGCTCCAGGATCTCGGGCCCCCGGTCCGAGGGTCGAGGGTTGAGCCTCGACACCTGGCGGTCGCGCGCGCGCGCAAACGCGCGCGCGCGCAAGCGAACCAACGCACGCGCGCACGCGCGAGCGCGCGCGCACACGCACGCGCACGCGCACGCGCACGCACGCACGCACACTCGCGCACTTGCCCACTCGCACACACCCACGCACTCTCACATTCACACGCACACACTAACACCCATTCACACACAATATCACAAGCACAAACAACATTAGCCACGACAGCAACAGCAACACAACAGCAACAGCAGCAACAGCAGAGCAGACCAGCACCAAGACAAACCGCAGGGAGAACAAACGACAGCTGCACGCTCGCACACTAGCAAACAGCAACAAGACAAACAAGAAGAGCAAAGCAACGAGGCAAACAAGAACAGCGGCAATACAAACAACACGAACAACAAACAAACGTGTCCGATATAGGCTCAAGCGCTCCAAGCCAGCCGATGACGCAGCGCCCCGTGGCCGAGCCGCGGCGCCCCGCGGCCGAGTCGGACAGCGACGATCGTCGGCCTGTCGCGGGGCGGTCGGACGATGAGAGCGTCGGCGAGTGGGCGAAGGGCGACTAGCGGGCGAGGGGGGCGGAGCCCGCCGCGCGAGGACAAGAGCCTGGAGGACAATATTCTCGACGACAAGAAGGTCACGCTCGAGGTCAGGCCGGGCGACGCGAAGGTCGAGCTGAAGGACAAGGGCCCCCCCAAGCTCGAGAACAAGAAGAAGCTGGAGGTCAAGCTCGGCCATGAGGAG